GAAATCCAGATGCAGAGAAGGAGGACTGATGAGCAAAGGGGTCCAGACCCCCTGAATGTGGGTGTCAGTGAGGAGACCTTGTAGTGAATCAGTGCTTATCGATACCATAGGAATGGACTTTAGGAGCCCATCCCACATGGAGGGATACTCCCTGAGCCTAGACACAAGGGGGTTGGCCTAGGCCCTATCCCAAAGGATATGACAGACTTTGAAGACCCCTATGAAAGGCCTCACCCTTCCTGAGGAGCAGAAAGGGTATGGGATGGGTAGGACATTAGTTGCAGGGGGGTGGGAAGAGGGGAGGGAGAGGGAACTAGGATTGACATGTAAAATAATTTTCTTGCTAAAAAAATTATGTTGCCATGAAATAAAAAAGAAATATTAATCAGGAAAAAAAAAACAAAGAAACCCCACAAAGATAGCTTATCTTTTATCACAAGGTAAACCAAATTGACTTTTTAACTCATTGAATCTTAATTCAAGATAGAGTTTACCTCTAACCTCATTGTTTCCTTAAATTAACATTTATAAGCAAATCAATATGGTAGCAAAGAATTTACAGTAATTCTATGAACAAACACAAGAGAATAACCCAGAGGACTTTGAACTCTGGAGTGTGATTTTCTGTCTTGGACTTGTCCATATTTTATTTAAAATGGATCATTTAGATGAAAATCTTCTAACCACAGAAGATTGTGTCAAGGACAAAAATCAGCCTTCTTTTTAGCCTGGGTGTTTACATGCACATATACATAGAATAAACATATATAAAGTGGCCATTTATAAGCCAAATAAAACAGAGAGGGGACTTTTAATCTATGAGTAATTCATGGAGTAGCCAAGCAGGCACTTGGAGTGGAAGAGAACAAGGAAAACAAAGTAGAGATATCAATGATGTTATCAGACTTTTTCTCTCAGTTGCTCACATGTTATCAGGAACAACAGTTGATAATTTTGCCCAATGTTTACAAACCCTTGTTGTGAATGTTTTCTAGGCCACTGGTCTTTTCTAATCCATGTCTTTGTGTTTCTTCTTTCCTTTGTATTCATATTTAATATCATTCTCAGCATACGCACCAGCTGGGCCACAACATGTGAAACTTTCTAGAGGTTACTTTAGTGAAGGGGAACACATTTCTCAGCATTTCTCTGAAAGGGGAGCGTGGAAGAAATTTTCTTTTCTTTTTTATTAAACCCTATCTCAATGAGTAATATGCCCAGTGTCCCTCTTTGCTCTGCAGAATGCACTTGGTCAGAGGATCTTTGAGGGTTATTTCATTCAATCTAGGTGCACACCATGGATCTCCTCCCAGGATTCACGCAAATTCAACCTACTAAAGCAGAAATGTACTTCTGGGGCAACTGTCACATGGCAGAAACTTAAAAGAGTTCTATTTATGGGTTCTGAAATTTTCTCTTTGTGGGATTTCTCAACACAGAGAAAGCCAAAGTATGTCTACAAAGGCATTTGATGAAAAATCTCCACATTTTCTCTAGTGATGAGAAAAATTTTTGGAGTTCTTTGTGAATTAAATCATCACTTGGATAAAGTATTCATCCTTGGAAAGTAGATTTTCCTTTCATAAAAAGTCAGAAATCATTTGCAAGTAAATCTGTTGAATGATGCAGATGATCAAGTTAGGTGACAGCACATGAAGATAATATTCCTGAGTACAGAATGAGTAGATGGGATCAATGTGTGTTCTAATTCAGGTCTCCAAAACATGCCATGCTTAGCATCTTGCGTGATAGTAGCATTTATTCATAATTTCATATGCATTTTCAGATGTTCTATTACTTGCTTGAATGACTTGAAAAATTTCAGAGATAATTA